CGCCATCTGGCCTTGGAGTGGGACGCCATCTGGCCTTGGAGTGGGACTCATAGGCCCGGAAGGGGGGATCTCTGTAACATAGCGAGCCCTCCCTCCCTGGTAATGGCCCGCCCTAAAGTCCCCGCCATATCTGCCCCTCCCTGTTAAGACCGTAATGCTCCGGCCCACTCCCGTGTCCGTAGTCCCTCCACCCACCCCCATAGTCCCCGCGTTTTCCGACAGGCCCTTCGAATCAGTCATCCTGAGATTGGAGTAGGCCCAGCTCCCCCCAACACTTCTGCGAAGCACTCAGTGTGGGGGAACCCGGTTCCCATCCCAGTCTCACTTACACACCCAAACACTCACTCACTCACTCACATCCCCGGAAGAAATTTTAAAATACAACAATATAATAAAAAAGGGAATTACACAAGTTTAAAAGTGGGGTCATTCGCTTACAGTCATACACATCCACACTACTTACAAGGAAAAATTTGCGCAGGTATAAAAAGGTGATAAAAAGTTGTGCCTTCTTTGAAAGCTGTAAAAGGTGGCTGAGAAGTTAGGATCCTTTGAATAGTACCTAAGAATACCCGTTCCTGGAACTTCTGGGAAATAAATAGCTTCTCTTGTTTTTACTTTAAGTTTGACAATTTTAAAAAAACCTACACCATTCTATGTTTTGTAACTCATTACCATTTTTCTCAACAGCTTTAATTGCTACACTACTTCTGTGAAGATACAACCTGTGTTTATGGGTTCATTCTTTGCTCTGGATGAAGTTACACAATGACTTGAAAGTGTTTTTGTTCAGTCATTGGTCTCTCTTCTGAAAAGAAGTGTTTCTTTAAAAAAATATTCAAAAGTTATTGTTAAGTGTTAACTGAGATATGAGAGCAGGGAAGGGGAAGAGGGGCTTTGATCTCCACTGTTGTCACAGTGCAGTTCAGGAACCAAACATGTTTCATTGAGCTTAAGCTGCCTTGTCCTGTTGTAGAGTCTTCAGTAAAAGAAGAAAATAATAAGACAGGCACTAACTCTGAGAATCGGTAATATAAGAAGAATTCAATGTTTGTAAAAGCAGAATCTACCGTAATTGCTGCTTGTAAATAAGTTCTTCAATGGAAATTGGAATGAAACAGGTGATAAATGTGGGACATATGACTCATTCTCAAAGTATGAAGTAGCTGCATGTAATGGATGAAACTACTTAAATGAAAATCATGCCTGAAGACTTGCAAGAAATCACTTGCAAAGATGACAAACTCATACCGTAGTTCCCCCAGCCCCGATCCCATATGTGATAGCAAATCTTGTTTGAGACTAATAATCATGCTGGGGATGACATAGGGAGGAATTAGCTGTCATTTGGAACTGTCTCCTAAAATCATCATTTTTATCTGTTTATCTCTCCAACAGAAATCCTTTTGGATACAACAGGAGAGACCTCTGAGATTGGATGGACCGCCCATCCTCCTGAAGGGGTAGGTGCTTCCCTTCCTATTCTTTTGCTGAAAATTGTCCTACCCGCTTAATACCTGGTAATGTGTTCTGCACACAACAAAGGCCCGCAGAGAAACCAAGATGTAATAGCTGGGATTTTGGATGGTATTCCCCCTTCAAAGACAATGGAGAAAACTATGAAGGGTTTTAAGGTTCTTGACTGATTTTTTTTTCTGACTATTATAATCTCTGCCAAGTCTTTGGATCTTCTGTCTCGAAGTATCACCATAAGGGAGACAACACAGGATTCTTCTCATAATAGTCCACAAAAGGCAATAGATTTAATTGTTTTTCTTATTTCTTTAAGACCTACCTTTTGTCTTCATCAAAGGAGCATGGTAGAAAGTCCTGTCAGAGAGCCATATTGTTGAATGATGAACAATGGTACTTTCCCACTAGGGTTGGGTTGATATAGTGAGTTGATATAGTGTTCCCTTGACTCCGTGCACTCTCAGCCTTTCCTTGACTACATAGAGATCCTTGACTCCATGCTCATTATACTTGCAAAAGAGAATGGACATCCATATTTAGAGTCTGGTCTTCAGACTCATTTGATAGCCCCAAATTGAAGAAGAATGGAACTACATGACAATACTGCTGTTGAACCAACATAGCATTATTAGCATTATTGGTACTTTTTCCAGTTGGGGTGATAGCAAAAGAGTGGCTGTTGTATAGTTTTAATTATTTCTATTTCTCCATGTAATTTATTTTCCCCGTCTGATTTTGAGAAGAGAAAGGAGAGGAAAGATTTATGAATACTGAAACAAGAGCAAAATCGGGAGCGTTGTCTGAGGAAAAAGTGAATGCAAACGTCTCATTAAAGCAATTTTTATTAGGCAACAAAAGCAAGCTTCAGAATTTCATTAAAAATTCAAAAGCGAATGGCCAGTAAAAGATAAAAGTATAAAAGATATTTAAACTATGCCCACCCTGTGCATTTTTTCCTGGATTATTAATCTTGTTGATTGACAAAGAGTTCTTAGAAACTCAAAGGCTTACTCAAAAAAGTGTCCATCTTCCCCTTGATTCTAGGGTACAATAATGACTCTTTAAAAATTCATCTATATATTTCAGTTTGACTGTAATCCAATGAGACATAACTCAAATAATCCAGTGGTCTATATTCTGATGGCAGAAACCACAAAATTGTTGAGTGCTTGCCTATAGAAAACAAAAAGAATTTGGAACAAGCTGCAGGAGCCCTTATTTTCCATCTTATAGCCAAAATGATAGATGAAATGCTAGTATAGACTAATTGCTCCCTGTTAACCTAGCTAAATGAAAAAGAAAAGAAAAAAAAAGCCATGGGGTATTTTTTTAAAATGTTTAAACATTCTTTTAAGAAATAATGGATTCCTTTGACCATTTTATAGGATGAATAATAGAAAGAAATTTGGAGGTACTGCCATCTTTTTAAAACGTTCAGCAAATTTGGCACTCTCTGTGGCACTCTTCTCCCTAAGAAGGAGAAGCTCAGAAAGAAGCAACTGTGTTATTATTCTCTTTGCTAGATTTGTGTTGCCATTTAACCTTTAAATAACATATTACTTTGGTTAAAGAATTATATAGAATATTAATACTGCGTTTGTCAAGCTGTACATACCAGCAGAAACTGAATTTAGCTATTCTCTGAAAGCTACATCAACATGGCACAAAAATATACCAAAGCTTAACAAACTTAACCAAACCAAATTAGAATTCTTCCTTTTTTGTACATCCCTAAAATTAAACAACAGCAAGATACGAGAGCCAAAACTTACAAGGTCAACCAAACCAATATAGAAAGCAGTGTCTATCAATAAAGAACATATTATTGAAAGAATTAATTTCCCTAATAAGCAAGTAAAATCTATTTTGCGTCCCAATGGGGGATCATGACAGTGGAGGTGGTTGATCGATTAATAGCAGATCCCACCTCTCCCCCCTGCCCCTGCCTTCCCCATCTAGCTTCAATAGTAGTATTAATTCATTTTATTTGCATTTGGTCATTCACAGTGGTCCAGATCTTCTCAAATAACAAAGCTTCCTAAACATTCCGGTCCTGATTCACATGCATAATGAATGGCTCTTTTCCCTCCACTCCCGTGTGTCTTGTTCTTGCCCAAGCTGATAGTAGACATTTATTTTATTTTATTGTCATTGCATCTCGTAGAATGAAATTAAATGCCATCTTCATGTGACTAGCATCTGGTCAGTTCAGCTAGGCTGGAAGCATCTTGAGAAAAGACAAGTTAGTTATGGGTCATGAAACCGCAGAGCACCTGGATGTCTCAAAATGCTCTCCCTTGAAATTGCCAAATTTTGATTGCAGGCCAAGGCAAAACCAGAAAAAACAAATCCTCAGACTTTAAAGACATAGAATGTGAATGCATACTTTATGCTTGGAACACTTGGAACAGCTGGTTTTGGGCTCAGAATATTCTGTACATCTCTACCCACATGCAGTTTTGGAAAACTTCAGTCTTATTACTTTAAATCTAAGCAATATTTTTTTAAAACAAATGAGCCTAGAAAGAAGGTCCAGTATCTCCTTAGTCTGGAAGAACTTTCAGAATCTTTGGAGGGGAAAATAATTGGCTTCATTTTAAACTTACTTCTTCCTTTTCCCCCTCAAAGAATAGCACATTTGAGTACAATTATTTTTTTCCTAGGATAAATGGTAATGAATAAAGCACATATGTGTTAAATAAAAACACATGCAATCTAGAATGATTTGCAGTGTGGTGAGTGCTTTTTAATACTGGATTTTTCAGAACATGGAAGGAAAATTCATTCTCATCCAGTGTTGTCTTTCTCTTTGCCTTTGCCTTCCTCCTCCTCTTCCTCCTCCTCCCCCTCCTCCTCCTCCTCTTCCCCCACCTCCTCCTTTTCTTTTTCCCCTCCTCTTCCTCTTCCCCCTCCTCCTTCTTCACCTCTGTACCCCCTCTCTCAACTTCCTCTCCCTTCTTCAGAAAGTCATTTAAAAAATGACTGTGGGCAGAAGAGAGATATACAACTGATTTTCAAGAAAAGTTCCTGAGTTCATCTACAAGACATAGATTAAGGAAGGCACTTGGTGTTGGGAGTCAGGGAACCAAGTAATATTAATCTCGTATGTCCCCAAGGAGCTTTTAAACGTGATGGAACTAAAATTTAGGCCACATTTGTGTAAAATATACTGTGGCAGGATCCAGGTGGCTGTTCTCAGGTGTAAAATAACACTGTCCCCAACCCCATAAGATTTATATTTCCAGCTTGTTTGTCTCCTTTTTCCTCTCCTCCCCTCCCCTCCCCAATTCCATACAGTGGGATGAAGTGAGTGTCTTGGATGACAGGAAGCATCTGATTCGAACATTTGAAGTATGCAATGTGGCTGAGCCGGGACAGAATAATTGGCTGCGCACTCATTTCATAGAGCGTCGTGGAGCCCACAGAATTCACATACGCCTCCGCTTTTCTGTTCGTGACTGTGCCAGCATGAGGACCGTGGCTTCTTCTTGCAAAGAGACTTTTACCCTTTACTATCATGAATCGGAGACTGATCTAGCCACTGCTGTGTATCCGGAGTGGCACGAGGGCCCCTGGACCAAAGTGGATACAATTGCCGCTGATGAGAGCTTCTCTCAGGTGGATAGTTCTGGGAAGGTTGTAAAGATGAACGTCAAGGTGCGAAGCTTTGGGCCATTGACGAAGAGGGGTTTCTACTTGGCCTTTCAAGACTCTGGTGCCTGCATGTCTCTGGTGGCTGTCCAGGTTTTCTTCTACAAATGTCCTGCAGTGGTGAAGGGTTTTGCCTCTTTCCAAGAGACATTTGCTGGAGGTGAAAGGACCTCTTTGGTGGAGGCACCAGGAACTTGTGTGGCTGATGCTGAAGAAGCCAGCAGCACTGGCTCCTCTGGAGTGAAGTTGCATTGCAATGGGGAAGGCGAGTGGATGGTGGCAATTGGAAGATGTGCCTGCCGTGCTGGCTATGAGTCTATGGACAGTGAGACAAACTGCAAAGGTAAGAAACAGGTGCTTCAGGGAGTGTCCCTGGCACTTTTCAAGTCAACCTGTTTGGAATAAAAACCCACAGTGTCTTTGATAATAGCTTCCAAACAGTATGCAAGAATCAGTAAGTCCTGTGAAAACCAAAAGTTTAAACTCCTGTGAATATAAAATACAAGAGGCTTCCTGTTACACTTTTGTGTGATGTGCGTGTATAATCTTCCCTCATCTTTATATTGAGTCAATTTGGGGTGACTCAAGTCACACTTGGTATAATCCTGTGGTTTTCTTTAAAAGAGATTATGGATTTGATTCAGCCTTGTTGGTTGGACTCTAAAAGTTGCCGGCCAGGTTTTACTTTTAGTAGCCTGCTTCTCCCTATTCTTTATGCAAATGGGAAAAACAACTTCTTCTTCTGTCCAACAATTTAGGCATGCCACAAAAAAAGGAGGATTGCTAGTAAATAAACAATATCTAGCCCTAACTCCAAGTTTTGTGGGTGACCTCTGGGCATTCCAAGGCACCAGAACTTTTCAGATTTGATCCTAGTTTGTAAAAGTACCAATCTGAGTGATAGTCCTGATTTTAACATAATGTTTCCCCTTTTCTCTTTCTCATAAAAATGGGTCAGGCAACTGGATTGTTTTCCAAATGTTTGTTCCGAATAGCAACGAAGTCTTTGCCTAGCTTTGCTTTGTTTCCCCCCCCCCCCATGCAGATCCAAAAGTGAACAGCAGCTGTTAAAATCATACTTGTTATAAGGGGCCCCAAAATAGCTTTCCTTAATTATAGTAGAAATAACTACCTGCTCCCTTAACAGCTTTCATTTACAGCTTTTTTTACCTAGAAAGGTATACAAACTATTATGCTTATTCTATGTATTCCATAATTGTTTACAAAGTAATCCTAATTTTCCAAACAATATTCCATATTGTGAAATTTGATTGTACGTATTACTGTATGCTTTTCCTTCAAGAAGCCATAGTTCTTTAAACTGGATGTCTTGTCTATATTTGAGTTCCAAACTGCAATACCCCAACTTAATAGTGGGAAGTGATATTCCAGACTCCTCCCAAGTAATTTGCCCAGAGTTTGCACTGCAACAGCTAGAAGTATCAGATGATGTGCAATTGCATCTTAAAGTTTAATGAAAAATCTAGCAACCTAGCATAGTCAATGGAGCTTCGTGCCGGCTGCCAGTTGCAAGTATTTCTGCTCCTCTGAACAAAGCTGTAGTAGAATCTGGAATTCCTTCTTAAACGGAGGTTAATCCCAGCTCTTCTTTTAATGTGGATTGCAATTAATCTTGAACATGACTGATATTTGTGCAGAATTTATTTATTTTTGTTAAAACCAGTGAGGAAAGTCCTTTCTCCAGAAGAGAGAAATCGAAAGCCTACAATCGTCCATTCTGTTCTCAGTCAAGAGTATAATACATACGCAATCTATTACTGTATGTGATGAAAAGTAATATAGCAGCCTGATGAAGCAGCAGGGACTCTTTTCATAGTCTGCTTTAGAAATGAATATTCACTGTGGGGGCTAGGGTGAAAACTACAAAATTACTGGGGAGGGGACTGTATAGTCATTCTTTAGTATATGCATTATATGAATTGAGAAAAGGCCAAGTTAGTATTTTAGAAACATTCTTATAAAGCCCACTTATTTTTTTTAAAATTTACTGGGGAGAAATTCAGAAAAAATATAGATATTAGTTGCCAGCTTATTCTAAATTTTAATTATGTCAAGAATGCCCCAGCTCGTGCTTAGCTTGCCTTTCATCCGGTGGTTTCTTGTTTGAGGTGTGAATCACTTGCATATTTTTTTTCTATCTTGCAGGAAACATTTAGAATGTCCTTTAAAGAAGTGGATTCTCCTTGTCGAGCATCTGAGTTAAATAGTTTCTAGCTAAAATATAAAAACTATTATGATTATTTGCAAATACACTCCTTCCTGGGAGTTGATATGAAGAAATTAAATATTTATATAGTTAATTTTAATTATTACACTTATAAATATTAATTGTAAGTGTAATAATTATTGTAATTATTACGCAGGCCTCTTCCACAACTCAGGGCAGTTGAGAGTGTACTGTAACTATTATAATACCTTTTCCTATACAGGTAGTCCTCGAATTACAACAGTTCATTTAGTGATTCTTCAAAGTTAAAAAGGCCCTGGAAAAAGTGACTTATAGCCATTTTCACAATTGTGACCATTGCAGTATCCTCATGGTCATGTGATTAAAATTCAGAGGCTTGGCAACTGACTCACATTTATGACGGCTGCAGTGTCCTGGGGTCATATGATCAGGAAGAGATTAACAAGAAAAATTAATTGGGAAAGCCGGATTCATTAGTAACCATGTTACTAATTTAGCAATTGCAGTGATTCACTTAATAACTGTGGCAAGAAACATCATAAAATGGGGCAAAAGTCACTTAACAAATGTCTCACTTAACATAATGTCAAAACATTTGGGTTCAATTGTAAGTTGAGGACTATCTAGACAATTCCTTGTATTTGATTCCCAAACGATCAACTCTTTCAGCTGTGATTTTTTCCAGGCAAAGTTATGGCTAGTCTGAGGGGTCAAAATCAAATTTTGTAGTACCTTAGAAAGCTAATAATACTTTTGCATAAAAATAGAACTGAGTAGATTGTTTTAATGATTCTTATTATAATCAGACCATGTTGAAATGTTCTATGTGCTGTTTAACTTTATAACCATTGCAGACACCAACAGTGCAAATCCAAGAAGGCTTTCACGAAAGACATGGCAATAGCATTTTTTAAAAAGTAATATCAATCTGTCACCACAAAGAAGGCATTAATGAGAAATAATTGCCCTTTTAATTGCCTTTCGGGATCTCCAGAGAGACAAGTGTGTTTTAGTCTCTCATTTCCTTTTTACATTTTCATTTACCTCCAGTGGTTTTCACCACACTGGAAAATTAGATTGGCGGCACAGCACATGATCCTTGGTTAACTGGGCTGCCTATGCACCAAATCCAGGAAATAGAAAGGAGCAGCAGCCATCATGACTATTACACCAGGAGGGATTTGTGCAATTTTCAGAAAAAACTTCCTTCCCCTCTTAACTATTTTTAGACCCGAAAATTGAGAATGAGAACAGTGATTTCCAGATTAGTCACAGGGATTATCTTTCATATTGAAGAATTGCACAAAGAGCTGCATAAGTTTAATATACTTCAATCAACCTTGGCTGGCAATGTGATTCAATTAGTAAAGGGAAGTAAAATCAGTGGCCCCAGAAAGAAGGCAAAGGTAGAACTGCCAGAACCATCACACTTTTCACAATAGATCTGTGACAGATACTTTTTTCTGCCATAATAATCACCTGAAGTTTCACAGCCCACATCTGGTAGCCCTCTGAAAGAGGAAATGATTATTTTGCTCACTTAACCATACTTAACAAGTTGCCTGTACCATTTTTTGCATCCTCTGTTAAAACATGCTCATAAGGGAGGTGGGTTTGGTTAGTAATGGAAATGTTCCAAGAAAAATGATGATTCAGTGTAGTATAATTACAATAACATATCATTTAATGATCTTACTTTGTAGTGGATGACTGTTGAAAAGCAGATGCCTTACTTTCTTGATTGACAGCATTAATTCTGTAAATATTTGACCAGTGTTTGCTTAGTGGGCAGGAACAAAATCATTTCTGTTTATAAGAACTTTGCTTGCCTCTTTTCAAGAAATCTTGTGTGTTGAAAATCTAAGATCTCCCTCCTAAATATACGAACTTTTATGACTCAAGTTTTATTTGCATTATTATATAAGTACAATGATCCATAGCAGTTCTCTGCACAATTCCCTAAAAGATGGTTCCTTTCAATGTATTGGAATCTGTTTTTACTTATCTATGGACAAAATGGGAATGTTACTATTTTCTCTAGTAGTGGTACTTAAGCTCAATGCCAAAATGTATTGAAAATTATTGGTAGTCACTCCAGACATGTTTCTACCCTAGCTATTAATTACTGTTTGCTTCATTCTTTTTTAAACTGGGAGTCTCCTCTCCCTGCTCATCTCTTCTTGACCAATATGATCATTAGTGGATGCTCAGGTCCAAGTGCCAAGTCCTGTGATGTAAAAAATGTGGTTCAATAAGAGTGTGTTCATGGTGAATGTTCTGAATAAGCAGTAATCTTCCTTGGCGAAAATGACATATTTACTATTGCAGGTAAATGTTCCAGACAGTGGGCTAAAACACCTTACTATCAGATTTAAAACAAACAATCACCAATTGAATGCAAGATTGTTTTGTTTATGTGTGGATAATGATTTTCAATATGATGCACAGTAATTAAGATCTTAATGGCATTATTTAAGAGTGAAATCCTTGCTCCTAAATGGGACATATGTTAGGCAATAAGAGGATAAGCAGCATATATGAGAGTTTATAACAGAGCTTTGGAGCTGTGTTGCCAAAATTGTTCTGTGGATTACTGTCCCAAACGCAATTCTACATGCAGGAATTTGCAGAAATTATGAGAGAGGGTTTGCACATTCCTTGTGGTTCCTCCTATTCTCTGGAACTCCCTTCCCGGCAAAGTTCAATGTTTTTTGGATTGGACCCAAAACATGTTTGTTTCAGCAAGTCCTTAATCTCCCCATGGGACTTGAATATGCTCGAGCCTTCATTGTTTAAATTATGAGGTTTTGTTCTCATTTTTATTTGTTTTAAAAGATTTAAACTTAATCCTTTGTAAAAAATTGCTGTAGTTAAAATAGGGGACAACATGAAAAGTAAAACTGATCAAAGATGTCCAAGTTGTACTGTTCAAAGTTTTTAATTATTTGGAGAAATTTTAATTGTAAGATGAGCAACAGAATCTTTAAGTGAATATATATCTAAAATATTGAACATGAAAACTTCTCTTTCTCCTGGTAAAAATGAAGAGGGCAAGAGAGAAGACCACCTGATCTCCAGCCAGCATATTTTTTTTTTAATTATGCCAGTCACATTATGTCAAAACTTTGAAGTTT